GACCAGATTTAAGTTGTATTATTAAGAATTTCATCTTTGAGTCGGCACTGTTGCTGTTCGGGATGCTGCTGGGATTCATGTGTCTTTGTGGCTTTGAGTGTGCTGGGGGGAGGCTACATCTAATGAAGCCGTAGGGTGGCTTTAGTAAACACAGTTGTTCAGTTTTGCTGAAATGCTTTGTGTTAAATGGGATCTGAAGCTTTCAGCTTGACCCCCCAAGCAAGGGCTCTAACCTTGCTTGGGGGGCTCTAACTGGCCAGCACACCCCCCCCCCCATGCCTTAAACTGCCGGGCCTGGAACTATTCAGCACCCAACAACCAGGATATGTTTTTAAACACATTTTTTTCATAACTGGTCTGATTTTAGCTTTTTATAATTGCTTTTTTATTGTGAAGAGTTAATGTTAATTGAAATACTTCAAGACAAAAGCTTGAATTTACATTCCATGGCTCTTTGATTTTGTAGTTTGTCAGGAACCTGAGGGTTAAAGAAGTCTTTCCGTTTAGCCTACTGCTTCTTTTATCTTTTTTTTTTCTTTTTTACTCAGGAAGATAGATATATGTAAGAAATCTTGAAGGACTGATGGAACATGGCGTTTGTCTGATCTTTCTGTCATGGCTCCTCTTGGTTTGTCTGACCCTGATTTCTTGTCTTTTTGCCTTTGACGGTGTAACTGATTGCAAACTGTGATTCTGTCGCCAGGGATGGAAAAAAAAATCCTTTCCTGTCCAAAAACACACTCCTAAATAAAACAGCTGAAATGACTGAACTGATTGATTTACATGGTGGTCATGTTTGTTCCTCCTCTCTGCTGGATGCAAAAAGGATTGATCTGGCTTCCTTTTGGTCTAGTCATGGTCTGAAGTTGGGGTGTGGAGGTTGGTTAACTCCTGGATGGAGAATTTCCTGGAGGATCAGTGCATGGTCAGTTTGACAGGAAGCCTCTTAAGCTTCAAACACACGTTGTTGTACCATGAATGATTGAACCTTGCATGAGTTTTGCTTTGATGAATTAACTGTGCAGAGATTATGTTTTGGGATTTGCACCAATTTTCTTGAAGTAAAATTGTGTGGAAGGCTCTTTCTTACACTGATTTGAAAACAGGCTCCCAATGTCCAATGTGATCACAGAGCCAGATGGGGAACTCATCTAGCCATTCTACGGTTTCTAATCTGATTAGCCAACCAGGGTAGTTAAAACACAAAAAATGAGGAAGGACCCCTCCCACCTAGGGTCTGATGCCTCTCCACCAGTAAGTGCCACTCTTAAGCTTGGGTGTCATGATCTTCTGGTCCTAACACCCAGACTGAGTCCACAGAACTGGTAGAACCCAAATGGATTTGCCAGTACATCTGCATGAGCAACCAAAATCCAAACCACAGTAGATAAGGGCTTGTGCATGTCTGTCTGTGGCTTATCCAGAACATAGATGTCAGTCTTGCAGGTTTGCCTGTTTGGTTTCCTTTCACCCATAATAACCTTGCATCAGAGGCACTTTCAGATGCCTCTCGTTGTTAAGGGAAAGTTTATTTTATTAGGATTGCCATCAGATATGTCAGTCATAACCTGGGTTCTACTTTCAGCTGATGTTTGTTGAAGAATGAATCTACCAAAAGAATGAATGGCCACATGTGTCTTGGCTGACTGCCCTTGAGTTGTGTTAACTTCTTGATGATCTTCTCTTAAGGGCTTAGTAAATAGGTTTAGGTTGGGGTGGGAGGAATTTATGAAGCCCCATCTCCCTACCTGGGGATCAGAGTTGTATTTATGCAGCAGACACATTGCTCCTAAGCTATCTTCAGAGCAGCTGAAGATACCTTACCTGTAGCACCCTGCAGAAGATCATAGACCATATTATAGAGATGCTCCTGTTTTATGATGGAGGAAGACAGACTGTTCAAATGAACTGTGTTTAAAGCCTGCAAACGATGTGGATTTCACTTTATTTTGCAGGCTGTGCCACATAAACCTCTGATTTAAAATGCTGGCTCTGTCTTGGCAGAGTATTGTGTGCGCTGCTGTTGTATTCTGCATCGCTAGACGATGTGACACAAGCCCAGGTAGGTGTTACTGAATCCCGCGTACCCTCTCCAGATGCTACATGCCTGACGAATGCTCGATTCTTACAGACACAGTGACTGCAATTCTGGAGAGTCCACTGGTTGGTAAGCAAAAGTTTACGGGGGACTGGATTTCCAGGAGAAAAAGAGACGCCTTATTTCCTTGTGGGGTTAAACTTTGCGCAGAAGAGACAGCTCAGCAAGTGATTGCAAACCACCTTAATTATTTTGATCTCCGAGGTAAGAAATTCTGCCTTTATTACTGTGACTTAGATGTAATTATGCAGCTAGGCATGCTGATATCAATCTGAATCACCCAGATATCCTAGAGCTAGTCTCTCTGCAGTTTTTAATGATGTAAACAGGGTACTTATTTAGGATTTTGGCTTAATGTTTGGAAATGTCTATTAAATAACATCTGGTATTAAGCTGGAGCGTGTCCTGTTTATGGCTATATGCAGACAGATACAAATAGTGAACAATTGAAGTCCATTAAATAAGAAATGCAAGGAAAAAATCTGAATATAGAAGAAAACATCAACTAAAGAAGAATTTAATAGATCATATGGGTTGTGTGTACTTTTACTTGCAGATCATAATAAGCCCAGTCCTTAGAAATTCCTGTTTACAAGGACATCATAAACACATTGAGCGATCAGCTCATGGCCTTGATGTTCGATGAGCACATTGCCAGAAAGAGTGTCCTGGATAGTATATCCCATGCACCTCCATCCATCAAAGAGTCGTGGTTGTATATTTCATTTGTGCCTTGTTTTGAGATGTTGAGAGCAATATTCACAGGTTCTGGTGAAACCTGACTCTACTTCAAGACTTGGGTCTTTACCACTGACCACCACAGTAATGATGATTCAAGGAGGTTATGTCATTGTGGATAATAACGACGCTTTATTGACCAACGTTGTGAAATTTTCTTTTCACCTATCCATCCTGCTCTCAGTCACAGACACATATGTAGGTGAGAGCAAGCTTGGCATCCACTTGCAGCAGCACCCCTGGGGGGTTAAGGGCCTTGCTCAAGGGCCCACAGACGTGACTATTCCACCAAGGCCAGGCTTGACCCAACAACCTTCCGATCAGAGAGGCTTTGGCTGCTGAGTCACACGCTGCCTCAGAAGATCTGCAAAATCTTAATAATGGCAGCCTTGTCTTTGAAGTACAGCCTGGCACTGGGAGTTTAAGCAGAACTGAAAGGCGTGAAACAGCAACAGGTGGAGCGTGATTCCTGGTGTAGAAACAGCTCCTCCATCACCAGGACCTGTGTTGGTTTATGCCTCAGTGTGTCAGGAGACTGTGTGGGAGGCCTTCAAGATCTTTTGGGATCGGCTTCCAAAGCGTGATGAGTACCAGGGTTGGCTAACGCTGTGCCAGGATGGTACTGCCAGCATTCTTGAGATTCAGCAGATTCAGCCAATCAGAGGAACATCAGTCTCTGGTGAAGAGTGTAAATGGTGTTATAAAGTATTTCAACAAACTGTTTGTTTTTGTTCTTTTGGTTATACCACGTCTTAGATTCATGGAAGTCGACACAAGCACAAATGATTGTTGCGATTGTATTTATAATGCCTTCCAAGTGTGATATTCTGTAGCTTGACTAAATGGTGTCTGTTCTGTTTTTAGCGAATGTCAATGGCTGAATTACACAGGTGAGATCATTTTAATACCATAAATATGTGCAACCCCTAGTCATTCAGAGATCGACGGCACCCTGATTAGCTTTTGTTATAACAATTATAATCGGTTCAGTGAAAAGATTGTTTTATATGCTTAACCACATGCCCTGGTACAAACCACACCTTTGTATTCAACCATTCTCTCTGAAAATGTAGACATTTACGTACAGGATTCTCTTTGTCCCTGTTCCCAGCGAACCCACCAATTCTTGGCTGCATCTGTGCACGTACATTCCAGTATACGGACAGCAATATATACTCAGCAAAAAAAGAAACGTCCCTTTTTCAGGACTGTGTATTTCAACAAATAAAAATCCAAATAACACACAACACACAAGCCCTCAGTCCAGCCTCTCTCAGCCTATTGCGGACAGTCTGAGCACTGATGGAGGGCTTGTGTGTTCCTGGTGTGACTCGGGCAGTTGTTGTGGCCATCCTGTACCTGACAGCCCATTGGCTAAAAAAAAAAGAGAAAAAAAAATGTTCATTATATTTCTTTTATATTTCCTTAGCTAACACAACATTCTGCTGACTTGCTGAGAAGGATCCCTAGTCTTCTTGCTTATTGCTTGGCAGCTAAACCATTTTAACATCCCAGAGAAACTCCATCCTG